CTGGAGCAGAAATAAAGAAAATAACTAGACACCTTTTGAGTATTTTGTGTTCCCTCTTCGATTGATCTTCATGTAAGATCTTTTAAGAGGGATACACTACGACATCTAACCTAGACTGATCTGTGCAGGATTCTAGACCAACAACTCACTAACTGCGAGTCAGGAACAGTTCTACAAACCCATTGCAAATTTCACACACACACACACACACACACACACACAAACACACACATATATATATATATATATATATATATATATATATATATATATATATATATATATATATATATATATATATATATATATATATATATATATATATATATCTATTTCGAGTTCCTCATCATGATCAAAAATAATAACATGAAATATTGTATATCACCTCCTCTTTTCCTCTGTGCTGTAAATAAGATATGATACGGGTACTGTTATTGTTTTATATGCGCTATGTCACCGCACAATGTTTCATTTTGTTTCTGTGACGATGTGAGATACTGATTGCTATAAACACAAAGACATAACACTGAAGATTTTGACATATTACAGTTTCTCACAATTAGGCATTTTGGGATACTATCCTGATTTTCTCTCACTCTAATATTCGGATTATTAATATTTTATACACCCATTGCTGAGTGCCACCAAACTATACAACTTTGGTTTCTTATTTATACTGATCTACATTATATATGACATACTACCGATGAATATGATATACATGACGTTGTTATACACACCATTCTTTCCTCTGATAGCATACAGCTAAATATTTGGAATGCATAAGCTCTAATCTCCCACATAGTATGATTCTGATTATTCTACATTAGAGGAATACACGTTTTATATGCAAGTTTCATATGATGTTGAATTTAATAATTTATTCTATCGCTAAAAAATAATTTTTCTATATAGATATATATTCAAAAATTAATAATGTGATCCCTGTCAGCGCAGGGCACGAATGGGCCAAATAGGTTCAATCGGCCTAAAACCAGCCGTCTCTTTTTCCATGATATAACAATAAATACTTGTCCCGTATGTTGTTTCGTCACCTTGTCGCCTGCAAAGTATATAACCTCTTGATCCTATTCGGTATTACAATGCATACAGGCGAGGAACTTGTATGATGACAGTTTATCGTGTTGTATGATTAAAAATATTTCCCGATTCTGTCTCCCCCTCCCAAATTGAACATTTGCTTGTGCAATTTGTCCTCAGTTTGATTATCATCCGTTTAAACATACCGACTTTTAGCTGTCAAGTCTTAATATAATCGTATACAAACGCAAAAATGTCTATAAGAAAAATCATTTTTGAGAGCATAGTTATTTTAAAATTATGAGTGTATTATTGAGCACATTCAGCATTTTACTGAAGGGCATGAAAAAGAACATTAATTGAGCGTAAGAAAAATTATTAGGGACATGAATCTACTATTGTTGCAAGATCTGGACATTATAATAAACTACTCAGATTCAGTATCCTTTCTTGACTGATTTTAAGATGATGCTGGTTTACTCGCTGAATTATCCAATGTATAATGGATTCCTTTACTTTCAATTTCCAAGCAAAGTAATTGGACGTATATTACGTGTTTTAGAGTAGTTACACAAATAAAGCCTATGAATGCCATATTAGAGAAGGTAATAAGGAATGCTAACTTCGTCATTGACCTGAGTATAAAATTTTATTCAGGTACTTATAAAAAGATCAAATTAATTCAAGATAATAGACAAATGAAATTGACTCGTGCAATTGTTTGTTTTCTTTGTTATTATAAAATGATAATAGGGTTAATCATTTTCATATGCTGAAAATACACGCTCTTTGCAAAGAATTTAAGTGGGTTGCATGCCGTTCTTTTCTGCTATCCATATCCAAAGCAAATTTAGGATCTCAATATGAGCCCCTTATTGACGTGAGCAAAGCCGTCTTTATAATAACAAGGTTTAATATTATCAACGCTTACCGAGAAGTATAGTATTTCCATGAATTTCCAAGCCAGGGGACATGGTCCTTACAACAATAGGTCAAGTGAGTCCCTTGTAAAATTCTGCAATATGGAAGCCTCTTCAACACTATTTTCATTTGCGGTTCAGCTAAAAAGAAATAAATTTATAATTATATGGATAGAGCGTGCAGAATCAAACAATATCAATTTTGTTTTTGTGCTATACTTTACAATTAACATGGTTTTATCCTTGGAAGACGACTCTAAACAAATCGTCAAACACAGTTCTTTCTACGATCTGACATAAATTTGGTCTACCATTATATTGTCAAATAGATATATCAATGAACATTCTTTGCTCGAAAATCGAAAGGACATACTGTATGTATATATATATATCTATATATATGTATATATCTATATATATATATATATATATATATATATATATATATATATATATATATATAAATAGATACAAACATACATACATACACACATACACACATACATACATATATATATATATATATATATATATATATATATATATATATATATATATATATATATATATATATATATATATATATATGCAATAAACTGACGACGAACAGTACGAAACTAGTAACTAACTAGCCTAAGCGCTTTCGACTCTTAATGAGTCTTTTTCTTTTTTTTATTCTACTAGTGCATAGTTTTCATTTTCTAGTCTTCTTGGTTTAGACCGCTTGGTTTCAATGTTCTAAGGCGGCGTATCCAGTATGATTCCTTTTCCTTCCTGGTTTCGGAACTCCAGCTGTGGTTGTTGGCAATAGCGATAAGTATTATATCACTGAAAGTGTGGCCAGGGGAGGAGAAGTGTTCTGCGACCGGGCTTCTGTACAGCTTTTTTGTCATCCAATCAGATCTATGAAGGTTTATCCTTATGTGTAGCTTTTCAGTTTCTCCCACGTACTGAAGGCCACAGATCTTACATGTGATGAGATAAATCACATTCTCTGTTTTGCACGTTTTGTTTGGACCATGTATGTTTAGTTTTTCTTTAGTCACTGTGATAGTGAATGTCTTGGTCTCTATCATATGTTGACAGGTTTTGCATCTTTTATCGCCACAGGGTCCAGATTGACTAGGTTGGTTTTGACTAGCGATTGTTGTTAGCTTGGCCCTGACTAGGATGTCCTTTAGGTTTTTTGGTCTCCGGTAAGCTACTACAGGTTTGTTCGGAAGTATTAGAATTAGTAGAATTTAACATTTTCTAAATCTTCTTAATCTTCAATTTTTACTATAAGAATAACCGGTATAGAACCAAATATCCGAGATATAATCTGCGTTACATATGTACACAAAGTAAAAATAGATGTCGCTTTGGCTTGTAGACTTTTAGGGAATTATACAACGTTTTCAGTTTCCGCAACTAGTCTATACAAGCTGGTTGTATTTATAGTTTTAGCACATTTGAAAATAGAAATGTAGAGGTTTACAAACGCAACGTTTTGTGTTTATTTGTTTGTCGTAACTATGTTTTGTATTTGCCTTTGAAAAAGACTCATTAAGAGTCGAAAGCGCTTAGGATAGTTAGTTACTAGTTTCGTACTGTTCGTCGTCAGTTTATTGCATCTATTTTAATTAATCCCTGACAAACGTGATCCCTTGGTGGATCCAGTACGCTTGAGAGGGTTGTTATTCGCCATATGATTTGTATTCTATATATATATATATATATATATATATATATATATATATATATATATATATATATATATATATATATATATATATATATATATACATGCAAAGCAATTTAAATATTTTATTTTGTATTCGATTATTTCCTGCTGCATTATTTGTATGCGAAGAAGAAATAAATTTATTGACATGTAGTGCTAATATCCTCTAAAACAAAACAGGCTCTCTTTGGTAAGAAAGAAACTAGTATTTGAATCGTCAAGTAATCGACATAATTAAATGGAACCGTGATCAGGTATTCGCAAATTATTAGTTTGTGTCTTCTAAGTTATTCTTACTTTGAACACACCTCTTTGCTTGTCGTATGTTGCCAACTTTACTAGAATAGCCGCCTTGAACCTTTGCGGTACACCTAAGTGATAAAATGTCAACTTATTTGACTACGTGAAAACGGCTTTCTCTTATACTGTCCTGTCATCAGTAGAATTTATGAGCATATATAAAATAACCTCATCTTCTAATTATCTTCTATTGTCATTTTTTTTCAGTTGTAGTGTATCTATTATTGGACTGTTGAATTATGATGTGATTGATGTATTTTTTGCTAGCTTGTCTATTGCACAGCTTCTGTCGGATGTCAAATAGTCTCGCGTAATAATCTTCAAAGGTTTAAGTCGAGAAGATATTGTCGGTCAACGTCAGCTCACCATCATCATCAACATCATCATTAACATAATCAATATCTATGGCAGACTAATGATCTATCGCCTGTTTGTTCATATTGGGTTGATAACAATCGCATACTTTGTCTTCAAATATGCCTACAATTTGGAAACTGAGCTATCTTGGTGACGGCCCCTGTCTGAAATGTACTCTTTTCACTAGTTGTCGTTCTTGTTGATGCATTTCCAAATACAGATTTCTTTGTTTCTTTAAACCAATTGAATGTTGTTGTTGTGAATGTAATGCCATTTTTCAGCACTAAACAAGCCGTTCATGACAGTCAGTTTAATTTGTGGAGGAGAAACCCGGGAAAACCCCATAAAGAACCACAGACTCTCGCGAAGATACTGACAACTGACACAGATGCCAATATCGGCCAAGACAATACTCGACCCACGAGACAGATGTGAGATGGCAGTAATCCGTAACGGAGAGTGTTATATACCACTCAGCCACTCGGGGCCCTTCCGTGTATAGTGATGTCTTGCATTGGGGAACCATGCCGAAGTCATGTAGCACCACGTCCAATAAAGTTACGTTATCCTGAAACCAGGTTAACCAGCCCTAACACTAACCAATTAATGCTGAGTGCAAAGCGAGGCAGATGTTAGTAAAATTGTCATACGTCTTTGGTATGACTCGACCAGAGTTCGAACCTGCGACCTTCCGCATCCAAGGCGGACACTAAACCACTTAGGCAAGCGACTAGGTCAGAGAAGCAGAATATTATAATTACTAGTCGTTATAAAGAAAGTATAAACGATTGAAGACCAATAAATAATAACTTCGCCTTCACTCACAACTAGCTAATCATACATCTCAGGCACACTCAGAAGAGAGATTAGAAGAGCCTCTTCAGTTCATTGTGGACTCGGTCTAGACCTTCCTCTCTAGACATAAATAAATTTGCATAAATTAACATTTTCAAACTAGAAGGCTATCAATGAATGGAGTGTTTCCAATAAAATAACATAGATACCCATATTATTTGAACGTGCTTAAAAACTGCACGTATAAAAGAATTGCATCTATAATCTATGTCGAATCGTTACTTCAGTGTGAGCATTTTCCTGTGACTCGTTCATCATCCGTTAATGTTTTCTGCTTTAACTGAAGCGTAGCACACCTTACAAAATGTAATCTCCGCTCATCTATGATTAAAAGTCTAGATTTATGTTTCTTTAATTTATTTCATGTTTAAAATTTAATTTAGAAAAAGATATATACTCGTGATATAACTATTATAAGTGAAGTGCATAACTGTATCTTAGACAAATTTTGTATTAAAATTTTATTAAAGTTTGTAGAGTGGTGATTAACAGTATAAACGTACAAAAACGTACATGTTCTCCCTCTACATAAGCAATTAATCGTACCAAACTCTTTATACGTTTGACACCTGCATTCCGCATGCAAAAGATGAGAAGTTTAGCAATTCTTGCTTTTTAACAAATATCCGAAAAATGTTTAGATCATCAAGTTTCTTTTGATTCAGTCATATAGTTTAATACGTCAAAGAATACTGAGGATTTTAAGACGTATTTCAGAGTTAAACATTATTGTAAGGAGTAAGCAAAATATAAAATACATTTGGACATGAATTAAAGGTAACTAACGCGAATTAACGAGAATTGAAATATTTCCAATTGAGTTAATTGGATTTCAAAAGCAACTGCACATGAAGAGATTATCATAAGTTTCCGGGTTATTCTGATGCACACGTCGGAGTTTGCTAGTTTGCTAATTTGATGTAGGCCATCGATAGTTATGATCTTACTAAATATGAAAACTACGTTTTCTTAGATGCTGTAAAACAAGATAAGGAGCTAGCCAACTGAAGTGCATACAGTTTATTTACTCAGCTGGGCTATGCAATATAAAATAATACTCAAATAATAAATAAATGAATAAAACTTAAAATATAAGAGTGAAAAGATGCTTTAGATATTAACTGGCATAACAACAATGTAACCTAAGCTTTAGTCTACTGTGTTGATATAGCCTAATATATATAAGAAAGTGTATACATGTAGCCAAAGCTACAATATAGTGTGTACATAGAGCCTAATGTACGTGTTCATCTAATTTGAGTTTTAAGATATCCTATACATATAGCAGAGGCTTGAAGGTACTGTGCACATATAACCTAAACTATGTCAAGGTCTTTCGTGACTCAAATCTTGATATGTTATTCGAACCCTTGTGTTTTGTGTACCCATTATAACTGCATGAATGGACCTTTACAGTAATACCTGTAATTGTAGAATGATTATGAAAATGAATCTTTCAACTTAGATTTTAAATCAAGATTAGTTTGATAATGATGTTTGATATGACATTCAAACGAACCATAGCTCACGTTGCATATGAGGTCTTGCTAGGTTTCGTTGTTTCCCTTGAAGAATGAAACTGATCTGACCACATGCCAATAGATATATACGGTACATTACATACTAACCTGATTTGAAGCATAAGACTTATTATCTACCATTTATGGAAACATTGAGTTTATGGACTGTACTTTCGTTTTTCATAACCGGTATTCATGCAATGCGAGATATTAATCATTTTAAAGTTAAAACTTTAGTCTTTCTTGTTGGATCGAAATCCTAGTGTCAGAATAAAGAGGCATACAGATTTGCGTTTGGTGAGTATAAACTAGTTCATAATTACAATATAGCTTTTGAAAAAAGTATAGTTCTACTTGCAAAGTATTTTGAACATTTTGAACGGATTGGATGACGCATTATTGATAGCTGTTTACGGATGTATCTGTTGTAGGGGTATCGCCATTGTTATTGCATGTCAGATAACCATTGATCATTTGGAAAATAATAAGTCTTTATTTAAGTCTGAAAACTAAATAGATATTCGAAACGAGTGGTATTTAATTCTATTAACTTAGCACGGTGGGATGAAAGAATGATTTTCTTAATACTTCATTACACGAATAGTTTATTACATCAATAAAAGGCACGTATACACTTACATGCGTGGACGCTGAATTTTGCTTATAGAAAGAGGAGTTCCAATATTTCATGCTGTCAGCTTAGCAATATTAAAATTGCAGATCAGATATTTGTTGGCGTTCTCTGCTTACTAGAGCATTCACCTAATTAATAAAAGATACTGATGTCAGAAACAAAATTCTCGTCTTTATGTTTTTTGATGAAATGGAGCACATACAAAGTGCTATTTTTCACGTAAATGATAAAACTGGCAATTTGAAATCGAATCAACAACTGTGAAAATTTAATAATTTCTAGTAAACAATGAGACCCAGCAGCATAATAACCGCCTAATCAACCCAGTCAACTGATGCTGGGGGTGGGGTGGGAGGTCCACTTGAGACCCAAAATCCCATCAAGCAAACTTTTTGTGGAGAGACAGAATTTCATGACGACAAAAATGATCTTTACTATGACGAATTGTTGCAGATTATAATTTTTATGTGGGTATCAATCTACTATTTACATAAAAATTTAGGCACCAATCTCGAAATGAGGAAACTATTGGATGTCCTACATACTGCTTGGATCCGGGGTAATTTAATTTCCCAGACTTGTATCGGGTTTATTCTCTTCAACTTGTACGTATGTTATCTCTGTGAACGTACACAATTTCGAGTTGTTTTATTTTTCCTTCGGGGTACAACAATCCCGTTAAAATGATCATCTTGATAGCCCACTATAAAGACATATATCTTGAGAATATGCCGATAAACACATAACTTTGATTTTTCAGAAAGTTTGCACTTATGTCTATCAGGAAATTCATGTCTTGTAAACTGGGTCACCTATTAATCAAATATTATTATTATTATTTTCATAAGTGTTGCGATTGAGGTCTAACGAAACAAGTAGTGGTTTTATCTCGATAGGGAAGGTACTTATCATCTTTTACATTGTGGATAAAACAGGGAAATGTATGACACTCTCGTTCGTACTCTCAGTAGTACTCTATTTACATGCATATACAATAAAATAAAATAATTTGTTGCGGGTTGAAGACAAAATGAAAATCTAATCATTCAGTACCAACAGAGGAGAGACTTAACGAATGGAGAAAATATGTTTTGTGTATATTTGTCAGAACTTGATCTCATAAATGTAATGAATATACGAATATATAAACTGTTCCTAAAATGTTTTGTCATGTATAACTTTTGAAATAAAGCTTAATTTAAGGATTGGAAAGAATAAATTTTCTTCTGAATGTGTACTTGAAACATCTCATGTTAAACTATTTTAAAAAGGAGATAAAAAATAATAATCTCTTGAAATTTAATAGTAATGTCATTTATCACAAAACTGTTTTGCTTATTAAAACGAATGTTGCTCGAATGGTCAAATAATGATTCATGCTTCCAACAACTATACCTTTCGTATCTGATATATAAAGTCTTTTGGGGGTGATAGTAGTGGGGAAATTGTTTTGAAGTTACCAAAATATTTAACCAGTGTTCCAGTCTGTCTGCAGGAGAGTTCAAAATAATTCTTCTCATATCATCGATAGTGTTGTCAAGATTTAAATAACGGTTTGCTCAGTACATTTACTATGATTTCTTGAATTTTATGCTTCCTTCCGCTTTGTTTTGTTTTTCTTGAAGAAAGTTTACATAAACGTCTAAGCAATGGGAATACTAGCAAGAGAGTCATCTTACCACTTACAAGCTTGAATACACTTTCAACTATATAGCAAGCCTAAATGTAAAGTCCACGATTGCCAATTATCTATATCCTTACGTAAAAAACGAAAGGCAAACCATTTTGTAGTATATTCGAAAATGATATACATATATTCCAAAATTGATAGCAAACACAAAGGTATGTAAATTTTCTCAAAATATAATTGCAAAAGTTTCATCATCTTGCGCATCATACAATCCGAAAATGTATATTACTCTGGTCCGTGGCTTTTCCATAATAGGTTTACATCAAGCGAGGGACAAGTCAATTCAACCAAACATCGTCATTTATTCAGTGATAGATAACTTTTAGGATCCAAACAAACAAGTGATTCACCGCTGCCACCAAACATTGTCACGTCGCCCCTCGTGGATGGACGACGGATTTAAAAAAGGTCCGTCTTGTCATCAGCTTTTATTTAATGTATGGGTATACTACTGTATTCTAAGAGAATGATCTTATTCTAAGGGTGCAATCAATGAGCAGAGGCGTTAAATGAAGGTAACATTATTTAATGACAGAAAATATGAGCCAAGCAAATCAAGTGACTTGCATGAACTGTTAGTAAATTATAGCTTGACAAACATTATAAAATGCAATATATTTTGCACTAAAGTGCTGTTATAGAACACAAGTTAGTCTATAAGCGTACTCACATAAGTTACGACCAACAGGAACCAGCAGGGAATTACATATGCTTGTCTAACTGAAGGTAATTTTAAATACACATGTAGAGCTGAAGCACACAAGTGCATGAGAACGCAGTGTGCCAATCAAATAACGCGCAATAAAGGCTAAAATACTCATTTGTATCTTGCTATTTCTTATATGCAGTGTTAGTACGGTTAGTTTTGAGCCATGCAAGATATTGGTGTACAAGATGTTCTCATTTATTCTTTATTCATTCAAAAAGGGGGGGTAAAGAAATAAAACAACCTAATCTGGTTTCAAGGTTTGCTATTGTTGGTGCACTACAGTCTTTGCTTCACAATTTCAGGTTTAGATGCAAGAGTGCATCAAGCATT